ATTTCAAGTCTTCTCACGAACCTTCACCAGGTGGGTGTGCCAATAAAAGTGAAGAGCTCCGTGGATCAAAAACAATAGTAAACGATTGTAAAATCAGCGTCAGTCCTACAAACAAAGCAAATCAGAGAAATTTCCCCCTCCTCATTTGTAAAAGATTTCTTCTTCTTTGGCAAAATAACATTTAATGTCACTGCACCTGTTTCTGTTTGCTCAGCTCCATGGCAAATTGTTTATCTTTACTTTTTTTTTTTCTTGTGGAGTAAACAACCTGTGATGCTTCATTTTCCGCTTTGTCCACAAAGTTTAATCGGGGGGGGGGAATAAAAGAACATCAGATTACGGCACAAAAACAGAGCCATCGGTAAACAGGGATTAGGGGATTGGGTTTTCTAATCTGATTAATATGGCAGCATCTGGAATATTAGAGATGTTACTCAATGGTGGGACTCTAGATGAGAAGATAATCACACTTCATTACGTCATTTGTTGTCCTCTGTTAGAAGTTTCTGTGCCAAGCGAACCACCATATGTTTACTGGATCTTTAGTGAGATTAAAAAAAAATATCTGGTGTGAAGAATTAGGAGCACATGTGTCGGTAAGGAAAACACTATGAATAGGGATTCACCTCAATTACCTAGGGATGAGAAATGCCCAGTTTTCATTCTGTCAGCTCTGATTGACAAACGGGATGTGAAATTCTGAAAATCAACCCCACTATTCGCAAAAAGCATCATAGTTTACAACTGCTGCCTTTTCCGGTCTCTAAAGCAGCATAATGCTGTTTTTATGTGTTTAATTTAAAAAAAAAAAAAGAAAATTACAGACAGAAGCTTTGCAAAAGTGAGGATAACCCTGGAATACCTTTATATAGTCCTTTAAAAAAAAAAATCTCAATTGGTCAAAATCAAAAGTGGTCAGCTCGGTCCGAACGAGGCTGACTGGTGCATCTGGGCAAAATATATGGACAGAATATGCCATTGATTTCTTAGGGAATTTGGCCTGAATGTGTATTTTGTAGATCAGTATATTTTCTGCAAAATAAATTTAAATGATTAACCAATAAATACAATAAGTACAAATCGCAGATGTGGTTTTTGTTAACACACAAACTGGAGTAAAATATTCCACTCACTCTGTGTTGATAAACAGGCCAGCTTACAGTGAGAACTGCTAACAATTATCACGGCACTACTTTATGATTTACTTTATTTAAAAAACAAAACAAAAAAAACTCCCATACTTCTTACATTATTTGGTTTGAATCATTTGAATGATTCTTAGTCATGTAAAACTACTGACGTTTACATTTGGCGATAGTGTGGCTGCTGTTAGGTTTTTCTTTGCCCAGTAATTGTGATGTGAGAAATATTTCCCAGTGGAGTCTCAATTATAGACCTGCTAAAAGCTAAAAACATAAAAAAAGTACTCCAAAGATCCAGTTTAGAAGCCAATCTCTTCATAATAACAGAAGAGGTCTGTGGTCCAGAACGTCCCAAAAAATGGAGGTCTAACTACATTAAAAAGGTTTTAGTTTGACCCCCTCAGCTGCAGATTTATTAGCGAGCATTGTGTGTGCACAACAACAAGGCAACATTATGCCGTGCTACGAGTGGCCTGACAACAATGAATTACCACCCAGAGGTTGATTTGGTGCCTCGGCCGGTGCGGCACATATATCTACTGCATGACACAGCGCGGATGAGTCCGCTGGCGTGGCTTCGCTTGTTACTGATATGATATTCAATTCTGCCTGTTTATGTATATTTTGACTTTAATGTTCGCCGTCCTTAGCATGTACGGCAGCCCTGTTATGAAGTGGACGCCCTGCTGGAGTGTGATATGGTAAATTGGACGTTTTCTTGTTTATTAAGCGGGTGTTTTTTTTGTTTTTTTTTATCTTCTATTTCTATTCATGAGTCTTGGCTTCTGGTTTTAAAAGCCTTTATTACAGATTCATCTTTAATAGGCTTGTGATTTAAAGCAATGTTTTTCTTCTGGTTGCTGTGAAATAAAACTAAAAAAAAAAAAAAACTTTTAATTTTACTTTTTCCAAGACCACCTCCTAACAACATGTCAGGGGTCATCATGTGGACATCCAAAGCACCAGCTACGTGACTCGTAGTTTGATACAGAGTCTCAGACTTCTGGACTCTCTACCTTTGCACATATTTTGTTGTGCTGGTAAAGGTTGGGGTCTGTTTCTCCACACATATGGCTCTTTCTCACCCCTGGGGAATTTCCTCCCTGTGGCCTAATGCGAGTATTAGTATGGGTTAAATGCTTTACTCATTTGTGCATTAATGCATATTGCATAATTAATGGTTTTTGTGAAGTCTCAGTTTCTACACAGCAGGAGGGGGAGGAAAAAAAATGAAACGCAATAAACATCTTGATGAAGTCCTGCAACTGGAGTTGCTTCCACTCTTGATCCAAGAACCGTCCGGTGGGGATCTGAGGCATCAAACGCTCATCTAGATCCCAAACTGAGGCTGGAAATGCATGCATTCTCTGCTTCGACAAAATGCCTGAATGACTTTTGTTTTATTTTTTAGCTCTGCTTAAGATATATATATAAAAAATGAGAATTAATTTTACACCAAAGCTCCATAAATTTTCAAAACTGAAAAAAATGACTTCAAATGTTTCATGACTTTTACATCCTAGGAGGAAATCCTATAGTGTTTCCTGTCCACAATCCCCCATATTGTTCATGCAACTGGCAGATGTAAGTCTTAAGTACTTTTACGAAGATGTTTCCTCTCACTATATGTAATGTCAATGTTTTGGAGTCCCAACATGAATCTGTGAAGGGAGCAAAAGATTGTCCTAATCTGTTCCTCCCTCCACAGGGATGGCAAAGAGATCTTCTCACCTCAAAGATTTTGGAGCTCAACATCAATGAAAAACACTAAAAATTTCAGTGGAAGCATCCGAAAGCTGGTCAGGAATTATCAGAATGATTTGATTGCTGTAATGCCAATAATGTTTGTTTGTTTATTTTCCCCTATAATTACAGAGATGGGTAAAGATAATTTTTGATGAGAAGTATTTGAGGAAATGGATGGATGGATGGATGGATGGATGGAACAACACCCATCAAAGCTGTAACTGGAAATTAGGATGAGAACTTGGGTTGTTTCAAAAGTGACAAAATTGAAAATTTACATCTTTTTTTTTTTTAATTAACATAATTTGACTTCTAAAAACATTTTCTGGACTATTTGTCATTTCCTGAAAAGAAATGCTCAAAAGTTATTATATTTTTAATTGGAAATTGGGCTGCCTGTGGTGTAAAAAGAAATGATAATCGTAAAATGTTCCTTTTGCTTGACACATGATAGTAAAGTCAGAGAAACTAAAAACATGTAGTGGAATGTACTGAAGTTTTAAGCATAAGCTTAAAGTTTAGGCATATACCCTGGGATGCATCTTCTGTGTTGGTAAAATTCCCAATCAAAATTCAACAAAAAGTTATCACCGTCTGCTTTTAAAGGTTACATAAAGTTTGATCGCTTCAAGGGAAACTATTGGAGTTGCCAAACTTCAATATTTTCTGTTTGTAGAAAAGAGATTATGAGCAAAAAAGTTTTTAACATTTAAAAAAAAATCTTGCAGACTATGAAGCTGTAAATTAGCCAATACATGTTTGAACTAAATTATGGTTTTACAAAAAGGAAGTAAACATTATACTTAAGAACAAATCATAAAATCTGAAGAAAGGGATTGTAAAATATGTTTTTTTTGTTTGTTTTGCAGATAAGACAATTTTTCAGAAATTATATTTCAAACATAGATCTCACTTAGATATCATTGTGTTGTAAACAACTTTTGCTTTGTTCACAGAAAAACTACTGTGTTCCTTAACAGCTCTTCTGTGTTAAAACAAAGTGCAGTACATCAACTTTCATAGTGTTTTCACAGTGAGACTATCCTCTCAGCGAGTTCACTAACTAATCAGTTTGTTTCTGTAGCTTTACGTGGCTTCCTCAGTAATGGAAGTGGAGCAGGAGTTACAGTAAGATTTTAAAGCCAAAATAAGCTTCTTGAGTTGACAGCAAATCAGTCATAGCTGTACATTACTGATGTCCTGAGTAGGTTGATTGATCATGAAAACAGAGCTGTGGATCTGCTGGATAATTGTTTCCATTTAGTACATTTTTTTTATAAGAAACTATAAACTGTCTTATATTGTTTTTTTTTTTTAAGCCTGATCTCAACTGTTTAATGATTCCTATTGAAATAATTCCCATAATGTTTATAACCAGCACTTTAGGGAAATATTGTGTCGTTTGGCCTTTAAAATAAAAGGAGGGCCAAAGGGCCAAAGTCGCTGCGACTGCAGCTGCGTTCTCATTAAAGACGCAAAACTGCGACAATGATTGAACAGCGGCGTAATTACATGTCTTAATCACATCGTGAGGGTGTAATCGCCCTTAAACGAGGGGTTTGATTATCTGCAGGCAGGTATTACAGCGACAACTCTCATCACCTGTTTTTTTTTTTTTCATTAACATTCTCTTACGCATCGTAATGCAAGTCGATCTAATATTATTAATTTAACTGCAATTGGATCTCCCTTTTTAAGAATGATTGATCTGTTTTCAGCCATCACTATTCAGGTATTCTCTCCAAGGATTTGGCGCAAATCAGCTGGGGGGGAGGAAGGAAGCAGTTTTGATGGAGTGGAAAATTATTGACACCTGACGAGAGCCAAGAAACTTGAGAAATTAGAGATTATTTACGCACAGAAACTACCTGAATGTGTAACAAACGCGCTGAAATCTGAATTTGTCTGATTGACAGAGCTCGATATGAATTAAAACGTTTTGTCTTATAAAGGTGGGATTTGTTGTGAACTGTACAGAATTAAAGCGAAACGACTAAACCGTGAAATGTGACACATCAATGCGCACAACGTTCAAACACTTTAAAAGCACCTTTCTCTGCTTCGAGTTGCACTGACTGCCTTGGATAAATAACCAGATATGTATGTTTCTGATGTTGTTCAAAATATTTTAATAAAGCTTTTCCACACTCAAATACATACAAACGGCCCCCTTTGATCTTATAACAAACCAAAGTATCTACAGCGATAAACCAAAGCCTTGACCTGACAGCGCGATTCATCAGAACGAAAAATCATGAAAAAATGCAGAAAACACATCAACTTAGACGACAATGTGCAATGCAAGCATAAATACCATAAATATCCCAAATTAATAAATTACAAAAGACACATAAAACCACCTTGTAGACCTAAATGTATGCTTTTCTACTTTTTCAGATTTTTTTTTTTTTTTAAATTCGCTGAGTTGAAAGTAAAGCTTTCGCAACTAAATAAGTACCTAACCGAGTGGTTCACTTGTTTTCTTTCTTTCTTTTTTTTATTTAACTCTCCTCGTCCAAAACATTCACTTGGAAGGTTCTTTTGAAAACTGGGCCTTTGATATAGTAGTCAAAGTAAACGCATGAGAAAGCAGCAGAGTGAGGTCGGTGCTGTTGCGCTCCGGATAAAAAAATAAATAAAAAAAAAAAGTCGCGCAGGTTGTCAGGTCACCCAGAAATCTCCACAGAGGGTCCATCACGGAGCAACAGGCCTTTAATTCAGCTTCTGTTCGGCCTTCATTCACACCAGCACTTTAAAGATGATTTATGTACACAATCAAGTGTTGTTCGAACAGAGAAAAAAAAAAACAGAAGCGAGGTTTAATGCGTTTAGTAAATATTATAAAATGTTCATTTTTGTCTCTACTCGATCTTCTGTCAGGTTTTTCTCCTTCTTGTGTGCTTCTTTGTAGTCTCTGTGGTCAGTTTTAAGGCTTGTCAGTGCACTGTTTGCAGAGGCTAGACGCGGCGTTGTTGAATAGGGCGCATTTGTCCGGGCAGGAGGGCGCAGCCACCCCGGCGGGAAACGGGTATCCGGGCGGTTGCTCGTACGCACCCAGGCCGGGTGGAGGAGCTGCCAGCGCGGTGGTGGCCGGTATGGAAGCCGCGGAGATGGCCTGGCCCTGGTTAAGGTACGCCACCAGCCTCCTCATCTCCTCCAGCGCCTGCGCCTGCATGAGGATGTAGTTCTTGGCGAGCAGCAGGGTGGCGATTTTGGAGAGTTTGCGCACCGACGGGCTGTGCGCGTAGGGGATGACCGCCCGGAGCTCATCCAGCGCGTCGTTCAGGTCGTGCATCCGCCGTCTCTCCCTGGCGTTGATGTTGAGCCGCAGCATTTTCTGCTCTTTGGTTTTCTTACCTCCTCCTTCAGCTTTGCCCCCGGCTGCTGTCCGCACGTCCGTCAGGAGGACCATGTCGCACCGCCCGTCGCTGTCGTCGTCGGGGCTCTGCTCTCCGCCGCTGCTTTCCGCCGCCGAGGTCCTGTTGGCGCTCTCCCCGTACTTGACGCACAAAGATCCGGTCGGCAGACCCAAAGTGCCCCCTCTGCTTCCAGCCAGTCCACCGGGCTGGATCGGGTCAGGATCGACTTGGTCAAAGCAGCTAATTGGAGACTGGCGGTCTCTGGGCGGCAGCTCCATGCCGGCAGACGCTCTGAACGGGTCCATCTTTTTGCCGGACACGGCGCTGAGAGTTTTGTGAAAAATGTCCCCTGCCGCGCCGCCGTTCAGGTTCATCCTCCGGTCCATGGCCTGGTGGGTTCCGGGAACTCCTGACGCCTCTCAGTGAGTTTCTCCCTCTGTTTGCGCGTCAACGGCGAAGTTTGGGGCTTCTCTTGTCAGCTGAGGTGCGGTGATGAAGAAGAGACTTGTGTAAAAAGTCTCTCTCTCTCTCTCTCTCTCTCTCTCGCTCTCTCTCTCTGTCTCTCTCTCTCGCTCTCTCTCTCTGTCTCTCTCTCTCACTATCTCTATCTGTGCTGGATTCACCTTCGGCGGATCACCACCATCATCCTCGTTACGCACAAGACGCTTCAGTCTTTTTACATCATTATCTCGAGGCGGGTTATTAAAAAGGATTCGCCTATTGGGGCTGAGACAGCCTCCCTCCCCCTCACTCTCCACCCAATCAGGTTAACGTTTTAATTAACGCGGTTTAAACTGGAACAAACACCACATCGTGCGCACCAGCGCATCCTGCGAGCGTGCGTCTATACAAGACTTTAAAGCAGTTTTCAGGCACCATCCTCTTCATGAAATGGCCTGAATAAAACTTTTAAAACATATAAAAAATAAGTTACTTCAGCGGATCGAAGCCAAACACAAAGCTGTTTTTCTTCTATGATTTGTTCGGAAAAGAAAGAAAATGTAAATTAGACTTGCTGTCTGATTTTTCGGCGAATTTGTTTTTTCTTTCACTTTCACGTTTAAGAAGAAGTGTCAATGATACGTTTTTCTTTATTAATTATCAATTTTTAATTTTATTTATTTATTTATTTATTTATTTATTTATTTATTTATTTATTTATTTAAAGTCAATTGTCCTGAACCTCCACCAGTTTGTTTTTAAAGCAGCTCAGTGGAAATTAATTGTGCTTATTCTGCCATCTTCTGGATGAAATCGTAAATCACATCTGCTAAAGAAGAGCGATGATCTTTTATTCAGCGCACACCTCCTGATGCTTCCATCAGTGCAAAAAGCAGCAAAAAAAAAAAAAAAAACACAGGAGAAGGGGAAATAAAAGGAAAGAAATATCTATTTATTTACTCAATCTATATATTTAAAATAAATAGATAACTTATGCTTTGGAGATTAAAAAAATAATAAAGAGAAACCTGTTTTCTGAGCCACAAATGACAAAATAATTTTATTTAATTTTTTTTATTGAAAGGGATGTTTGCGACTGAGTTGTTGCTTAAAGTAATAAAAAATGACAAACTTGTGGAGTTTTGGTAAACTGCTTTTTGCAAAACTGATTCGTTAAAGAACAAAAAAAGTAGGAGACTGGATTAATTACAAATTAACAAAAAAGACCAAACTTGTACTATTCAAAGCAAATTGGATATATATGTATTTATATATTGCATATATATTACTAAAATGTAGTAATTATTTATGTACAGTGATGCCTTCACATGATTCTGGATGTGTTTGGAAAATTGACATCCACCAAACAATCCCATCTGACTGAGCCTGAGCCGTTTGACGAAGAAGACCGGGCGATTATTTCAGGCAAAGAGAAGTTTAGCACAAAGTCAATATCCTGAATACAAATGCACTTTTCATATTTGTATTTGTGAAACAATTTGGAAACCATTTGATTTCCTTTCACTGTGTTTTTTTTTTTTATACTACTTTGATTTGGTCTGCAACATAAAATCCCACTAAACCACATTAAAGTTTGTGGTCGTAACATGACAAACTATGGTGCGTTCACTGCAGCCCTTCCCCTGGTCACACTCACCATTTGGAGCACTTTTATTATTCCAGTCACACTTTTCCCTTGTTTGAGTTGCAGAAAGGGGGCAGTGTTGCCATAGGACAACTTGGTATGTGATGGAGAAGATGGAGTAACTACCTCCACTTTGGCATCCCTGAGCCACAACAGCAGCCCAGGTAACCAGGCAAATAAAATGTCTTGGATTTATACTGCTGGCAATTAAATAAAAGTCAATGTGAGCAACAACAACAAAAAAAAGGTTGTATTTCCTATTCCAGAAGTTGCAGATTTTTTATTTATATTGGAAGTGTACTGCTAGCATCTACTCACAGAAAGGTGGCCTTGAATATGAAATGTCAAAACCAGGTTTTATTTTGCACTAAAGCCTCAGAGTTAAAATAATAATAATAATAATAATTAATAATAATAATAATAATAATAAATTCAGTTTTCTTGCAGAGAGCAAAGCTGTAAAATCTTAAGCATTGTGATGTTAAAAAGTTGACAAATCTATTCCCAAGTGGTTGGAAACTCTAAATCCACCATTATACAAAATATAGAAATATGTCTCCTATATAAAACTACAATGTTCCTGTTTTTGCACCTCCTATGATGAAGACACTCGTCATATTTAAAGTGCCTTTCAAAGCAATTTAAACCCATTTCAGATTCATGTCATGTTTTAACCACAACCTTTGTTGGGTTTTATTGAGACTGTTTGTAATAGAAAAAAATCCAAAGAGTTCACAATCGTGATGTGGAAAGAAAATAATACTTCTTTTGTGCTGTAGGCTGAGGGTTGCTGGGCTGCTTCTCCTGCAGCGTCAAGTGTTACGCAGCTGCTACTGAGTTTTTTCTTCCCATTTGTTTTTTTCATTTTCTCATCAACTCTGACCGACATCCTTGTCCCTGCTGAAGAAAAGCATCCCCACACCATAACGCTGCCACCAACATGCTCCACTGAGGACATCGGCGTGTCCAGGTGGATGATTATTTCTCTTCTGTACTAGCCTGGATTGATGGAAATGTCTTGGAAGGTTCACAGCAGTGCAAACTGCTGAAAACTCTCTGTTTTCAGATGAATCTAACGGCGCTTTATGATGCGTTCAGAGTTTGGCGTGCTGCTTGATGATTCAGTCACGCTTCAAACCTGTCCCATGCTCTGTCCCTGATCTGTCTGTTGTGTTACTTGCTCTTTGGGATTACGTATGTTCCCCAAACGTTTTATTAACAACCTTCCTATGTCTGACCGAGTAGCTGTTTTTACTACAAAAGATGGAGTTTTATTCTTATTAGGTGAATTCTGCAGCCAATTGACTGAACTGGACTTCATTTAAGGGCATCACTCAAAATCCCAAATAAAATACATTATTCAGTACTTAATTTTTTGTCACATTATTTTGTAATATGACAAAATAAGAAAGAAATGCTCAAAGTTTTCAACTTGCTGTGCACTGAAAAACGTCCAAGTTGTCCCTTTAGCACTCAAACCTCACTCTCTGACAGGATAATTAGTTTGTGTTTCAAAGGAACGGCGTGATTTTTCTGAATGTTCAGGACTTTGGACAGCTCCATAGTTTTAATTTCACATCAGTCTCACCTGATCTCCGCAGGCGTCGCCGACGTTCTCCGTAGCCCCTGCGATCCCCACAGCGCGCTCGTTCAATGCGACCGACTCTTTAAACATTCTTCCTTCTCCTTACATGTTCCACCGGCACGCTAAGAGACAATTTTGCAATTACTCTCCCCAAGAAGCCATTTGTAGATGCTCGGTGAAATGCATTAAAGGACAAAATCTGTCTCCACATCCTAACAAGGTACCGCGTCTTGTTACCATGGCATGTTTCTGCACACACATGCAAGGTACCTTTAGCAGTGATTACGACTGACCCCTGCCAATTGAAACCATTGTGAATATGCCACAGATTTTTTCCTCATCCTTGTTTGACGCCCTGGCAGCTACATATTGTGAAACAGGAATGATGTGGGCAAGAAAAGAAGAGGGGGGGGGGGGCTGCTTTTTGCCTCCTGTGAGTCATCCACCAGAGACACAACTGCGTTTGCCAAAGAATTTTGTGCACAAATTATGATCCTTCTTTAAAAAACATGGAGGCAAATATAACATGAGAACAATATATGAGGTATTTGAGAAATGAACCAAAGTTCAAAACTGATGGATGTCATAATCAGTAGGTATTAAATTGATTTTGGAAAGTTCTGTGTCCATTTTGTTTCTGAACACTCTCAAAACTGTTCTACATCACAATAATCGCCTGTCTTGTATTTAAGCTTTCAGGTTTTCTCCCGTCTTTGCTACTTTGTCTCGGCGTCTGTCTGCATTCCAGCCTTTCTCTTCAATCTTGTGATTTTAGGATTTTTGACCTTTCCTTTTTGTTTTTTGTTTTTTTGGGGGGTTTTTTGGCCACCCCTCTTGATTGTGTGATCTAATATTCTAGCTGAGTACAGATCAAATTTGTATCTTGGAGAACGGAAAATTGCAATACCTAAAAAGCAAAAATAAACAATAAAAATGAAAGGTCAGAATACAAACACGGTGGATTAGGAGCTGTTTAACTTACTCTCAGTATAAATGAAGCTGTTCTCTGAAGGCCTACGAGGTTTTTAAAGAGCATTACGAACAACGGTGGAGACCAAGGAACAGCAACTGGAATGAAAGTTGCGGAGAACTCTGCTGCAAACATAAAACCTCAGGATAAGGAGAGTATTGATCAGAAGAAAAAAAAGCCAAGACACCCATGGTAACTCGGGCAGAGCTTCAAAGATTCACAACTCAGGATGGAGAATCTGTTGATTGGAAAGGTTTTAGTCCTGCACAGATAATTCTGATAAAGGAAGCTAGAGACGTCCTGGAGTTTGAAACAAAGCATTGTAGGGGGTCTCTGTGAAACATGGTGGTGGCAGCGTCATCCTGGGGCAACACGTCAGCAAAGACAAGAAAGCTTATTACATTTAATGTTACTGTAGTTGGTTCAAATGATTATTGTGTGATTTCCAACAGTTCATTCAGCTGATTTTCTTCATCTTTTGTGTGGATTACGTTGCAACTGAGACAGAGAGTGGGTGGCATTAAACCTCAGAGTGAAGATCTCTGCTGATCTTACCTGGACAGAGAACCGGCCACTTCATCGTATCTATCTGAGGAAACAAACAACGCTTGTAGCTCTTCACCACGTTCTACAGAGGTGTGGTTGAGATTGCACTGACACAATCTCTTTATGCTGCTCTGGCTGCAAAATAGCAGATAAGAGGTCCTCTGCAGGGCACAGAGAGGGAGTCTGCCTCAGAGCCGCTGCAGGAGCAGTGAACACGCTCAGAGACTCTTTACATTTTCCTTATGGAGGTTTTTAACTGCTGCCATCATGCGAACGGTTCCACATCTAAAAGCAGAACAGTTGCAGCTTTCTGTGTACAGATGGGAAAATCCAGAACTTCTGCTATGATTAGGCA